ATTATTATGTTGTAATGATGTTGTTTGTACTGTTCTTTAATTTTATTAAAGAGGGCCCCTGAATATCAGTTAACCTACTGGGCTAAACTAGAAGGGTTATCCTCTTTAAAGATGGTTGAAATAAAAAAATAAAATTAATAAATACCCACTCTGACCAAAGACCCCTGTTACGCGCCTGGTGTTAGCGCCAATGTGTGCCCTTGTGCGGACAGGGGATGTGACCCCCTCTGAAGCTGGAAACCTTGTGTTTGCAAAATAAATTGATGCAATTTACTATTATAGGCCTAATCAATAAATTTCTCATCAACCGATATAACCTTGGAATTGACATAACATAACTGATGTCGTACACACTCTTCAGTGTGAAATGTGGCTCTCTTTGCAAGCACATCTAACATCTAAGGAAAGAAGAGCTTAGATTGGTACCAGATAAAATAATTTTGTTATCAACATTAATACATTATGCTAATTTTCATCTTTGTAAGCGCATAAGACAGTGCAAATTATTTCTGTGACAGTCTTTTGAAGTGTGTAAAGCTCCATTTTATCTCATACATAGTCAAAATATTGGGGGGCATGATACAATGGACCATCCCCCTTGTCAAATATTGGGGGATATATCCCCCATCCCCCCGGGATCTACGCCTATGAGTGGAAAACCAGCTTAACCTGACTACTGTCCTGCTTCTTCATTAATGCATCTATCCGATAAGCCATGCTCCGTGGATATTGTTGCTAAGGTGTCCTAAAAATAGTAGGGAGTTTTCGATGCACTTTAACGTTAGTACCGAATATGCAGCGCGATAGCTCCGCCCCTTTTGTAAACAAATTGAAATACGCATGCGCAAACCGGTAACTAACGTACGTCGAGCACGTATCCTGAAATTAACGTACTCCGCAACGCAAGATGAATAAATTATGACGTCATCCGTTAAGGTTAACGTCGTGCATCGAAAACTCCCTAATGTAAACATACGCAACGGAAACGCGTTGTGGGGTAACACTTTGTGTTTGTTGGACATGCGCATATTCCTGGCACTGTTCTGATTGGGCGGTTGTTAAGTTTCTTTGACACTCTGGAAAGGTCAATTTGTTGGCCCAAATTAATATTTTTTTGGGTTTCACGGGTCAAAGATAATTTTTATGTTGCTAAGAAAATCGTTACAATTGGACATGGGGTAAAACATTTTGGTGGGTTTCTGGATGTGAAGGCCAGTAGGCAGCAAATATTATGTAAATATTTTTTGGCAATCTCAAATTCTGCTTTTTATTTTACTAAACTTAAATATTGGGTACTGCAAACATAATATGTAACTTTATGTCAAAAATAATATTTTGTGTACATCCTTCTTTGGCGCATAGAAGAAATCCGTGGGGTGATACGGTATAGTACAAATTGGCATTTAGCCAGTGCAATACCCTAAAGTATTAAAACCCCCAAACACCACGACTTAGTAAGTTGTAGGTATTCGAAAAGACAATTATACTTCCATGATTCAGACAAGGACTTACTGTAACAGTTGACGGTCTTTGTTTAACTGGTATTTCACAGGACAGATTGATTATAGAAACCAGCAACACTGCTCAGCTCACTCACATTTTGCTACCAGTGCTTACAGAGTGCCTATGCTTCTCTCATAATAGTCATAATCATCATTATCAACAACATTTCGCTTAATTCTCAATTTATTTGGCCAATTAAATAAAAGCACAAAAAAAACCAGAATCACAAAAATGGTAGAATTTAGTTAAACAGAAAACAGAATTTTATAGAAATAGAGCAACCCCACCAACCTGACCACATTTAAGTACTGTACAATAATTGCGCTCGTTATATAATAGTTTTATGAGTTTGTGCCACAGTTTTTCCAATAAATTATTGTTGTGGACAGCATGCGATACCAGTAACTTTGCCGATGACAATTTTAATCAATTTTACTACCGGTATCGATTATAATTGTGACATTTAAATGGCCAACCCAATACTTCGGTTTACAAATGATATATTTTTTTTCTCCTTAGGGAATTGTGTAAATACTAATTGTTTTTGTGTCTTGGCATCTCGTTTTAGTTGAGGCATGAGTTTTTGTGTCCCTATGTATATTTTTTCCCGCGTAAATTTATTTCCTTTCAGCGCACCTAATTTTCTTGCAGTTTTAAACATACATTATTAACCGTCACTTTTTTTTTTCAGATTTCGACACTTCTACTATTCCTACTTGTTTTTGTATTAAATTTGCAATTACCAGGTTCATCAATTTTGCTATCGATTATAATGGTGACATTTAAATGGCCAACCAGTACTTCGGCATGCAAGTGATACAGTTATTTTTGTCCTTAGGGAATTGTGTGAATACTAATTGTTTTGTATATTTTTTTCCGCGTAAATTTAGTTCCAGGCTTTCTCTACCTAATTTTCTTGCAATTTTAGATTTCGTTGTATCCCCTGCACAAATACACTTTACAGAATACTTTACTTTAAAATATAATATACAATATTAGGGCGTATACAATACAATAAGCTGTGTAAGCAAGCGGCGGAATAAATGTTTAATACATGTTTGTATGAGGGCCACCAGCTGACTGGTTGCAGTGGATTTGCTTACAACAGCAAGTTGAGCTGCCCCCCCCCCCACCATGTTATTGTGTACTTTGTATTTTCTTGAGGTCATAGTCCTAACAATAAAGTATGAACTATAGTTGTAACAGTTGGGTATAAATGAAATGATGCGGCACCGGTAATAAAATATGATCAATTAATACTAATAGTAATAAAACAACAACGATGACGATGATGATGATGATGATAAAGATAATGATAAGGATGATTATAATAATAAGGATGATAATGACAAATAGTTGTATAAATATTTATATATTGTTTGTATAATTGTTAAGGGATCATTTTTTCTAATTTGATTCCTAAATGTTAATTTACAGGTTGTATATTCTATTTATATTGTATATTTTTTTTAATGATTAAAATAAATGTTGCTAAAATTTGAAAGATAAAAAATCTGAATTCACATTATGTCCATAATTTTTTTTCTAACCGTATAAGCACGTATCGGTATCAAACCTGAGGCAGCATGTCATTGACAACTA